TTGAGAACAAGCTGCGGTCTGAAAGGGAGCTCCAGGTATATTCCTCTGCTCTTAGATCTCACATGCAGTACCTGATCACCCTCGTGTCAGTCAGCAGCACAAACTACTCTGAAGTGTAGCCACCCCTGCCAACACTCGTGCCAAACACCCGCTAGACAAGAAGCCAACTCACCTACACATGTACTTCTGTCCTAGTGTGGGAACCTTCCATTTAGGTTAGCAAGCATGTTGCAACAGTGCAGGATAAATTAGATTTGATCAGTTTAAACAAATGTTTGTTTAAACCCCTAAAGTCCAATATTAAACTAGTGACTACTCACATGATAAGGTAAATTGTTAAGTGTGATAAGACAAAAGGAGAAGCATGCAATCCTCTCCCAGTAGAGTTTTCAAGAGTGGGAGCGGGGAGCCTACAGTGTTTTAGGAAGACTGAACAGTGCTTTCTGGATTCAAAATATGTTATGAACCAACAGGTGTCTCCCAGGGAAGCAGCATTTCTCCACCAGCAAAATGGAGTAGTGGCAAAGAGATTTTTTTTAAAAATGAACAGCTGGTATAGCCTTGTTATTTAGGGTTTGTTTGTACCAAAGAAAGTGCATGGCTAGAACAAGATTCTTTTTTTCTCCTTGTTATTCAGCAGCTATTTTTGTAGATGCTAAGATTTAAGACCTGGGAAGTCCATGAAAAGTTAATGACTTCTAGCATAAGTGTTAACATTTTATAGCGCTTCTGCTCTGAAGAGGGCCCTGAACTATTTGCAATCCAAACCTCACAGAGCTGTTACACAGACAACCAAAGTAGCAGTCTAGAAAGCAAGTTTAATGCCAACCTGAAGAACCACCTGCAAATATGGCATTCAATCAACTAAATCCAGGGATGTCACCTCCACCCAAACTGCATCCCATTACTAAAAACAGAAAACCACCAAGCTATAGAAGTCAAGTACTTGCCTATTAACCTATCTGCTCGATTCCAGGTCCTTAGGGCTCGTAGCAAAGGAGAACAATAATACAGAAAGCACCAGAGGGGCACATACTGCTTGACATATTATCTGAACACAGATATAAGCATTCAGGGAGTCTTATTTTTCTCACTGAAAAAGGGACAAATCTCAAGAACGGAGCAATCCCTGTTCTTCCCATTTAAAAAAAAATAATAATAATCAGACTCGATGCACTAACAAGGAAACAATATGAAAATCAGAGTATTGGCAGAAGGCTTGCTTGAGGGTCCAATAGACTATCCTCTACACAACACACTAGGGACCAGATTTTAGCCAAGTTAGTTTCCAAAATGGTGAGACTTAAACAGAAAGTGAAAGCAGAACTCCTTGCTGTATGGATTTAGCCCTCAGATCTCATAATCTTACCCATCATTGAGAAGGTCACACATCTCAGCCTGGGCAAAAGAACAAAGCAGTAGAAAAGAAGAAAAGTAGGAAGAGGAGGAGAAAAAGCAAAGAGAAGGAAGAAAGCTAGAAGAAACAGGAAAAGGTGGAACGTGAAATGCAAGGATGCCAGACTTTCATGTGTTAGACCTATTTTCTCTAAGTGGATATTTGATCATCATTGGGCCAAACCAGAGAACTGCTTATCTTGCTGGTATCCTCGTAGGAGGAAGCTATTTACCCCAGCTCTGCCACCCTGCTTAAAAATATAACATTTTACACCTGCTTCCACAATACAGAGTTGTATCAGAAGCCAGACTTGACATCGAAATGCTGAGACTGGACTGGGGAACTGTGCGTGCGTGGAACCAAGTCTCCACAACACAGAGCACCGTGCAATGAAGTCCCTGCACTAAAGCTACTTGGAAGAGCAGGTTAAAACGACATGTCCCGAAAGAATCCTGCATACTTTAAAAAACAAACCTTCACTCCAAAATGGATTCACTTAGTCAAGTCCCAGACTTTTAAAGCTGCTTCTGTTCTGAAGAGTTTCTCTTATTAGGGCTCTGCACAATGCAGTGGCATTCCCACAGGCAGCAGCATCACCAGGAGATAAATACAACATACCATTATCACACATTGCTAAGCCTGCATAAAACCACATAAGCCAGCCTCTGGCAAGAAAGTCTGAACTGTCCTTCACTCAGCACATGTGGACAGGACCTTTCTCCAAAAGCTGCAACAATGACAGCCCAAGAACCGTCAAATAATCAGCACGAGAAACTCTGCATGAAATGGGGAGGTGTGCCTCCTTCAGTACAGGACTAGCCCAGAGAATCAACAGCCATCAAGAGGCAAACACATTCCACCCTCTTATTTCTAATCTGGCTAGATAGCACCTATCCAAACCATCAAAGTCACGTGACTAGGACCTGTACAGTGAGTGTGCAAAGTGTACTGAAAGTTTCCCTACCGGAGTTGTACAAACTCATGCTGGAGGGGTTTACTAGGGCTGTTTTGGGCTGGCAGCCTAGAACGGTTAAACCAAGACTGCTCAGAGAAGGGCACTTACAAAGGTAGAGATGACGTTTCTTGCTTCTACCTGGGAAGTAAGTAGAAGTACTGTATGTTCATCTCAGATGATTTTTTACCTTCTTGTACATGCCAGTTTTAGTAACATCTCCATGACCTAATTGGGCAAGATATACAAGATAAACCGAGACCTAGGCACAACAGCCTATAGAGCACAAGAGCCTTCTGTTTAGGGTTTAAACGCAGATGAAATTGTAGAAAAACACGTCCTTAAATTAAGCCACCTTGCTAGTCCAAAACGCAGTATAAGACTTCGGTCCGTTGCTGAAGGTCCAATTTCAAAGTCCGTACTCTGGTGATCACGTTGATTTGTGGCCATGTACTTTCACTTCACTACAAAGCATTTACACCGTGGACAGTTGTCAACTGAAGTCTCAAACAATATACAAGCGATTATTGTGTTTAGCAGCTGCCTGCTGAGTTCAGTAAAGAAGCAAGTCCACAAATATAAGTTTCCTCCCACACAAGCAGAGATTACTAGTTGTTTTTGTTTTTTTTGTTGGTGATTTTTTGTTTTGTTCCGGGGGGGGGGGGGGGGG